CGCGGCCTGTTGGTCTAGGGGTATGATTCTCGCTTTGGGTGCGAGAGGTCCCGGGTTCAAATCCCGGACAGGCCCAGATAATTTTTTTGCATTTTTTTTTCAACGTTTTTATTTTTTATTTTACGTTCGAACCAGTCTCATTAGTAACAAGTCGGCCACACCGATATACCTTTCACACGTGCCGTTCTAAATGATTAACATTTTTTATTATTAACATCGCGGCCTGTTGGTCTAGGGGTATGATTCTCGCTTTGGGTGCGAGAGGTCCCGGGTTCAAATCCCGGACAGGCCCGCTTAAATTTTTTTTTTTTTTTAATTTTTTTTTCTTCGAATTCTCTTCGTCGTCGAAAAAACCGGTTCACCTGATTAAGGAGTGAAAGGAAATAATGGAAAGTTGCCAGCAACCGATCGCTCGCGTTAAGTCACGATCATTCACGGTATTCCTTCACCGCGGCCTGTTGGTCTAGGGGTATGATTCTCGCTTTGGGTGCGAGAGGTCCCGGGTTCAAATCCCGGACAGGCCCGAACAACAATTTTTTTTGCAAATAAAATTTTTTTTTTTTAATTTTTTCTGTACATTCACTTATCTAGTCACGCGTACTAGTGGGAGAAATTCTGTAGCAACTCGACCACTTCATAATACGTCAGTTCTCAATGAACGGCCTGTTGTTCTATATGGGTATGATTATATTGATTCTCACTTTGGGTGCGAGAGATCTCAGGTTCAAATCTCGGACAGGCCCGAGATCAAGCTTTTTCGTGAAATTTTTGTCCTTATCGAGTGTGGTCTTATCGTGGTCACGTAATACAAATTAAAATTTTATTTTTCATGTTAATATAATTAGCTTTATTCTTTTTTTTTTTTTTTTTTTACAAACGGTATGTAAAATTACTATGGTATATAAGGTTTGCCAGGTATACATACCACGTTCACATGTATATATTATGCAAACTGAATAAACACCGACGCACAAAAAGCACCCAACATCACAAAGCTGTTTGCATGTGACGGGCAGCTATTAAATTATATATAATATATAAATATATATTGTTTATATGTATATATTGTACTATAAACGCGCGCAACATACATTTCAGATACACGACTACGTGAGTAAAATATACATATACATTATAAATACAATATATAGGTATAGTATATGTATAGTGCGTTTATTCTGTTTATATTGTGTATACATATATATATAACCGTGACAGGACAAAAACAATATAGAAATTCCATGTTTGCGTTCGGAACTAATTCACGAAATACCCCTAAGGGTTTCCAGGACGTGTATATTTATTTATATATATATATGTCTTTAGAGTGAGTGTATGTGTGTGTGTGTGTGTGTTATATACTGAACGCGCGGCCACCCTTAGTATAGCGAGCTGGCGACGCACATCAAAGGCACCCTTAACCCTTTGCCCGTCTGTGTACAACGTATATATACGTATGGAAGCCGTTCCTCAAATCTAAAGAGTTACCCCG